AGAGGATACTTAAATTATCAAGAAACATAATTAATACATTTATGTGGTGGTATTTTTTATACACAGGGTCTTTGTTCCCTGCTTTTTCAGTGTGACTATGTACTTTTCCTCCCAACACATGGCACGTTCCACAGCAGTGATTCCCAAACACCAGATATTCAAATACCAATTACACATTTTTTTGGTCATAACCATTGGCCACCTGTAGTAGTATCTGCTTGTTTAAAATTTTTTTCTTGAATTGATTTTATAAGAGTTAGATATTTGCTTCAAAATCAGCACCACTTGCCCTAAATAGAAGTTATCCTTAAAAATAAATACAATGAAAATAAAACAGTACTGTTAAATTCTGGATAAAACCACTGCATGCGAAGACTTTGGGCTTAAGGTCCATAGTTTTTGTTTTTTGGGTGTTTGTCATTGTAATCAGACAGGAAGATCAGCAAGTTTTAGAGAAAACTGAAGACAGACTAGTACCAAACTGAGCTTTTCTCCCTTGTAAACTCAGGGTAGAAAGAACCGACAATGAGACCACTTTCACACTCGTGTGACTCTTTAATGCCCTGTCTTTGACCATCAGTGCAAAAGCCCACGTTTTGAACCCTGCTGAGCGCAGGGCATATAGGGAGACTGGGTTCGAGATCCACTTGCAAATGCCTAAATTTGTTTCAGTAAACAAGTCACTTTTCTATCCATTGATGCCCCCGCCTCTCATTTTCCTTATTCACTCTCAGGGGAGTTTATGATAGTTTTCACATGAAATAGTTTACTTTTATCATCACTTTTTTTCTAGACTTTCATTAAATCAACAAAATGCTTTGAACCCATACCAGAAGCTCACCACTGAGACTGCAGCCACGGGGAAGACATTTCGTTCCCTCGCTGAGAGTTCTCTTTCTTTCTCCCCTTAGCTCTTTCCTCCTTTTTAAAATTACAGCGAATCAAATACCCAGTTTATTTATTTCAAGCTGATGAAAAGATTAAAGATCGGTGCAGCTTAAAGTATACTTGAACCCAGAGCTTTTCAAAACGCCCCACTCCTCCCAAACACACATTAACCCACGAAGATTGCCGTGGCAGTTTCCCCGCAGGCCACTAGGCGGCGCGCACATTTTTCGATTCCGAAAGAAAGTGCCTATGTGGGTACTACCCCTGAACTTTGGAATTGGTGTCTCCTTTCCCCACTTTCTATTCAACTTGGGGCAATTGTGGAGAGCCCTCAGGTTCACTCACTCCACTAAGCCATCCTCGACCCATGTAGTGACTCCTTGGCTGCCATTACGAAGAATTCTTTTGCTCCCCAAACCACAACAGTTTTGCTTCTGACTGTTTTCAGCATTTTGCCCTTTTGACATTTTAGAAAAAATAAGATCCAAGTTTAATGCTGAAAAGAAAGCACTAATTTATTTAGTGAGAAGATTTCTTCTCCCTATTACTGTTTTCCCTAGCTGTGGGGAAAATGCTCCTCTAAGTATTTAAAGCAGCTCCTTTGAGCAAAAGAGCTTTCTGAGGAATAACAGAGCTCTTTCTGAGCAGATCTTTTGGAGCTGACACTGGTACCCTTGTCAGCAGCATGTTGTATTTTTGAGGTCCAGACTTTGTCTCTGAATTTTACATTCTGAATTAACAAGGCCTTGAGTTCAAACACTGCGGAATACATTCCCAGACCAACTGTCCCTACAAAACAGGATCCAAGACCTAGATCCAGGAGTTCTCCAGGTTCTTCACCTGGTGTGTGGCCCTAGAACCTTAGACCTCACCATTTATCTGATCCCAAAGTCCCCTTCCCTCTAAATATCTACTCTGAGCTTTTCTTGGGAGTCAGCAAAGACATTAATGAAATAAATTGTAAATATGCCCTAATGCACATGGATATGATATTGCCTTTTGGATGAGCTCCTCCAAAGTTGACATGGGGAACTCTGGGAACAGGGCTTGAGCAAAAAAGAGTGAAGACTGGGCCTTGCCCACCCCTTTCTGTGAATCTCAATCAGCCTGTTCTTTAAGGAGATAAGCAACTTTCTTTCTTTTTTTTTTAAGGGAGGTGTCAGAAGTCTTCTGAGGCTGCAGCTTTATGCAAATGCACTACTCAAGAAGAAGGCTTTAGGGGAGAGTTATTTATATCCCACAGGCATTACACATGCAAAAGGTGAAACTGTGAATCTCTGAATTTCCAGGAGTGGATGTTCTCATGATGAGCGCATCTTTGCAGTTAGCTATTTTGGTGGCACACAATTCCCATACCTGTCAGATTGTTCCGGGGAGGAGACTACATAATGATCCAGTAATTTTAGACTGACCCTGTATGTTTCTCTCCCAGTGGGACTGCATGACCTGAACTTTTTCTGGGATTAGATTTACTACCACCTTCATCTACCTAGTAATAGATACATTTCATTTCTTTTTCTCCTAAACAGGTACAGCTCTCAGTTATTAAAAGGTAATGATGTGGCACATTTATTGCCCCTTTCCCTTTCAGATTGACCCCTCGAATTAGCAAAGAAAATGGCCATGTCTCTAGGAATTATTGCCCTGCTCTGTCACTGGCTTACCCTACCCAGAAATACAGACCATTCTCCACATCGAAGTCTACAGTAATCACTTCAGGAAATTGCTTTCCCTATTGGAAACTGAGAGCTCAAATCGGAATGTTTCCACAGCACAGCTGATGATAATTACGACTCACTGAAATTTCAGTTTTCTTTGATTGTGACATAAAAACTGGGACATAAATTAAAACCCAATTATCCTTTAAGGGTAATTGGGGTTATAAAACCAAGAGACTGTGAGTCAGTGTGTCGATATTGCAGAAGCACAGTGTCTGATGGAACAATATGTGTTCTGTATCCCAAACAGCCTTTCACATGAAATGGCTGGGAATAAGGTGATCCGTGTACAGTGCATACCGAGAGTGTACATCAGACCAGGTGACAGCCTTGGAGAAATGCAGTGAGCTTCTAGGACATCTTGGAAAGATTAAAATATGCAAAAACTCTAATGGGAACGTCCTGGCCTTCACCTGTGAAGGTGCCCAGTGGTGGAACAAGGCACTCAGCACCAAGACTCCAGCCAACACCTGAGTGCACACTTGCAAAATGTGGTTCTATCTACCTGGGCAATAGGTACAGTTCTTTGGTGTAACACAATCCACATCATTATAGTCCACGAAAGGATGGACTTTGTTTTTCACGAAGGGCATGATCCCACAAAGGCTGCAGAAAAGATTTTTGGTAAATCAAGTCATAAGTTAACTGCATGAAGGAGAGCTCATTAAAGGAAGATTTGGATTATTATTTAAGGACAGGAATTGCCCACATACCTGTGGCTCTCTACCAGGCCACTTCTGGATGATGAGTATGTATACTCTTCGGGTCAAATCTTATCCACCAAAACTTCCCAACCACGTACCCCAAGCCCTATTGTGACACATCCCTCATTCTGGATTTTCAAAAGAGTTTCACTTCCTGGTCTTTCTAGAGAATTTTTTTATTCCCTTCCATTGTGCACCGTTCGTATTTTTAAAAGAGTACATACCCACCATATGACAGTGACATTTTCCTCTCTGGCTCTGCCACTCTGCCCTTGCAGTGCCTTGACTGTGATGCGTGTGTTGGGCACATAGCAGACCCTCACTAAATGATGCTGAATATAATGCACCATTGAAACAGCATAACTCCAGATTTTTAATTCTTCTTTTTGGAAGGTAAACATTGCCATAAGTTATTAACTACACAGAAGACTTGAACAAATCCAGCTCCCTTTCAAAACCAACCAGGTTTTCCTTTGAGGGCACTCACCTCTGCAAACAATTTTCTGGCCGCAGGACAACATAAAGGTCCAGACTAGGGTATCCAGCAGACCTCTGTTTTTAATTGTTGCGTCAGTCTCATCAAGTCCCCTGAGAATCACGAGAGAGAAATGCAAGGTCCAGGTTATTTCCACAACCCTGGGAAACCAAGCTTGGATAGACATCTAGGGAAAGTGTTATGTCTGATCTGGGCTTTTGCAACCTTATTTCATAATCCACTTTCTTATCTATTATCTCGCAAAACCAAAGAGCAATTGGTACAAACTGTATTGACAAAAGATCAGAACTTGATTCTCAATGGCAAAGGCAAGTATACATTATAAATAGCAAAACAGCTGGCTTGGACCATGTTGCCGGCCACTCATCCAGTTGAGGGATTTGAATGACATCATAACCCTTGAGAGGGTATTGCTAGCCAGCTGGTGTTATTTAGAATACACAAAAATTGGAAAAAGAAAACACACACACACACACACACACACACACACACAGGTTCAAGTTATGCAGAAAAACATGAACAATGGAAAAATAGTTTGCCCCTTAGGTGCCTTTCCCTGGGCAGGGGGGAGGAATGGGGGGGAGGTTGGTAATAGGAAGCCTAGTAGAGAAAGGAAGAAAAAGATTTTATTTTTTCAGTTGGCTTTATAGCTCAGCAAAGTCTTTGCCCTGTTGCGGGCAAAAAGCATGAGACGGTGTCCTAAAGGGAGCCAATAGCAATGCTGCCTGCCCCTTTTCTAGGTTCTAGGAAATGAGATCATTCCCCTTGCTTGGCAACTAGGACAAGGGGTCACCCCAGTGCTGTCTTCCAACCTACTTTACCCCAGTCATTTCAGGGTTAAAACTGTAGGGTTTGCTCGAGATCTTTTTTTTCTTCATTTCTGTTTTTTTATTTTTGCATTTGCTCTGGAATAGAAAAATGCTCGCCCATCCTCCATTGTATGTTCCTTTAATACTGGTAAGGTGTATTAGCAGATGTGTGTGTCTCCATGACCAGCAGAAAGTTAATCAGAGAACAGATCCTTATTTTTTATGGCAGCATCAGTATATTAATGTCTGCTAACCCTGTCACTAACACACATTCTTTTAAGGGAAAAAAATGCTTCTGTGCTCTAGTTTTAAAATGCAAAGGTATGATGTTATTTGTCACCATGCCCAAAAAAGTCCTTACTCGATAACTTTGCCAGAAGAGGGAGAGAGAGAGAAGGCAAATGTTCCCCCAGCTGTTTCCTGTCTACAGTGTCTGTGTTTTGTAGATAAATGTGAGGATTTTCTCTAAATCCCTCTTCTGTTTGCTAAATCTCACTGTCACTGCTAAATTCAGAGCAGATAGAGCCTGCGCAATGGAATAAAGTCCTCAAAATTGAAATGTGACATTGCTCTCAACATCTCCCATCTCTCTGGATTTCTTTTTGCCTCATTATTCCTGCTAACCAATTCATTTCCAGACTTTGCACTTCAGAAGCAATGGGAAAAATCAGCAGTCTTCCAACCCAATTATTTAAGTGCTGCTTTTGTGATTTCTTGAAGGTAAATATTTCTTACTCTTTGAAGTCATTGGGGAAATTTCTTTAAATTGTGTACTGTTTGCTTCTGCCTAGAAATGTTATTCACTTTAGAATTTTCATTGTTTCGGAACTGGGAGTTATTTATAAATTGCTGAATATGCAATTCTGTGGGATCTGAAAAACTAGCTCCGGGAGATGGATGCCTTTGCACAGATATCTGTATGAGTAGAAACTATAGCAGGGTACTTATGCTAAATCCTCCACTTGTGCAGGGCTTCAGTGGTATCATTATAGAAGGTTCCTTTAAATCCTGTCTATGGTTAAGGGCTATAGAGCATGGATATGAACTTTTAGATTTTTTTTTTGCAGGTGCAGATGTTTTATTTTTAAGACCATGTTTCTGTGTGTGCGTGTGTGTGTGTGTGTGTAACTCGTCAGGACTTTTTATTACGAGGCATGCCACATACGAAGAGTTACCTTTTAGGTGATATTAAAGCTTTTAAATATGATCTTTGGAGCTAAGGTCCCAGAACTCTCTGCACTTATGCCCAGAGAGTCAAAGTTAGAGCGAAGTTTAATTTGCTTTTCTGAAAAAGAACTTGACAACTCTTGCTGACCCTGCATATTCGTATAATTTAAACAAATGCATACTGTATGTATGAAAAGCGGAAACTTTCTAGCAACTGCATGTCCAAGTTTTCTCTTTGGAAGAGGACTTTCATGGGTGAAGTTTGGACTTGGGATTTCGTGTTGTAAAACTGATTTTATACTCAGTGTTGTAAAGTCTCTTTAGGTAAATTTGGCTGCCGCTGTTAATGCCAACTTCTCGTTTCCAATCACTGGCCCTAGTTCAAGTTTCCATTCTCAGCAAAATTATATCCTTCAAGACTTGTGTTTTTCCAATTTGCAAGCATTTTTAAGCCACTGTCACTGGCTCCTCAATGCAATTGCCTAAGAGCTCAATTCATAAAACTTCCCTGCCACTTAATACAGCATTCATTTGCTGCTTTCAAATACTCCACCACTAGGATTTTTCTTAGTCAAGTAAGTGGCTTAGGAGTTAAGAGTACATCTTTGTCAGGCACCTGATTCTGCTACCTTCCAGGTGCCAAGACTGGCTACCTTGCTTTTAAAAGAAATGAAGTCTCTCTATATACTATATACATAGCATATATAATATACTATGTGGTCTGACAGCTAAGGTTTTTGTCTCTCTACTTAGATGATCATAAAAGGGGTTGTTGAGTGTTATCTCTGCATTAATTACAAGTTTGGAAAACTTTCTCCAAATGAACTTTTCAGAAATAGAGCTAGCAAATGTTGTTACTTTTCCTTTGTACCTGGAGCAAGAAGTGGCTCGAGGGAGCTTTGTGGTCCTTCAAATGTAATTCAATAAGTAAAGGGGTCCTGCCTAGAGGCAGAACTCAAAAGCTGACTGTACTCTGAGTCTCAAGATATTTGTAAGTGTTTGAGTCAGAGGGAAGGGGGTAAGGCAGAGGACTGGAGCTTGGGGTCCCGATTTAGAGCGGCTACAATAGGCACACAATGGAAATTGGTGCCTTGATGGCGGGGTGGGGGAGAGATGGACTCAAATCCCAGCTGTGCAATTTGTTCATTGTTTGATGGACAAAAGGCAGTTTACCCAGGCTAATGGCATACCTGCCTGGGTGTCCAAATGTAACTAGATGCTTTCACAAACCCCACCCACAAAGCAGCACATGTTTTTAAGTCCTCAGTTTTCTATTCACATCAGCCTCATAATACCCACCCTGACCTGCTGTAAAAGATCTGGAACAAACAAAAATGGTTACACCTACAGTGAGTATTTTCTTATGACTATTGCCCTCAAATTTTGCTGGGCATTTTCAATGTATCCCAGACATCTGGAATCAGTTGATATTCCATTTATTTAAGATAAAAAAGAAAGGTCTTTTAAATTTTGAATTTGTGAATGATTTTTGAGAAACAGTGCTCTGAATTCTTTTTCTTTCTTTTTTTCTCTTCTCTTTCTGGTTCTTCCTTCCTTTCTCTCTATATCTTTCCTTTCTCTCTCTTTGTTTCTTTTGTGTTTGGCAAAATAAAAGACCAAGAAAAGGACGGACATATGGGGCCACTTGTTTCAAACTTTTAACCCCTAAGCAAGTTTGTTATTGTTTTCTTTGGGGGGAACATAATGTGATAAAATTCTCTGGTTCCCTCTGGGTGTACTGGACTGTTCCCTGAACTAAGGGAAAAAGCAGTGGAGGTTCTCTCTTGTCCTAGAACTGTAAGTGCTGATATTTATCTAACAACATAACTCAGCAAAAAAAGAAAAGGAAAATGAAAAAGCTATAAAAAATAAGTCTTATATTCTGAAATGCTAGTGATCTATATGTGAGAACTTATATGTTATGCCAGAAATAACTATTAAAATATAGTTTTGACATCTCACGAAGTTCTCAATTCACTAAGGCTACGTCTCCCCATGGATTTTACGAGAACTAAAGAATGTCAAGCCATCTACAGTTGCAGGTGCTTCAGCATTACTATAAACTCAACAAAGAAGGGAGGGATGGAGAAATAAGATTGGTAGAATAGCGTGCATTCTAGACCTGGCCCATTGCCAGAGTGTGGGGTATGTTCTGTAAGATCAATTCACAGTTTGCTCTTTTGGAAAAGGCAATGAGGTCCAGACAGGTTGGAACTGTTGAGATTTCCACTGGAAATATTGAAGGGGAAAACCCCCACCAATTATTTTATGACTAAGAAAAATGTAGATTGGATGAGAACCTGTTTCCTGCAGTCCTGGTGGCTTTGGCTATGTGGAGGTGGAGGGTTTCTATACAGAGGTCCTATTGAGAAAATGGAAGAAGTGTTCAGTTGAGCTTTCACCTCCTCCTCTATTTTATGTCCATTATTTATGATGATTTGCAAATAGAGGGCACTTTTCATCTTAAACTGTTTTACAAGCATTAAGTGAGTATTTACGTTGTGTTAACGAGAGGCAGGGGTTTAAGGTGTTTTTTTTTTTTTTTCCCAGTTGCTGAGCTGAAGGTCTGGCCACAAAAATGGAAATCTTAATTAAAATGATGGAGGAAAATCTGCCGCTGATGTAGAGAGCAATTAAGTTGAGAGTTTATGGAGGGCAAGGAAGGCAAATGACTGAGTCTGTTTCTCCAAAAGGGATGGGGTTGAATGGGTCTACCACTACTGTGAGGTTCAGAAAAGCATTTTTTTATAATGATCGCTTCCAGCATAACTCCATGACCCTTTTGATAAGGTCCCTCACTTACATCCTGCCAGTGACTCCTCCAAGGCCACTGAAAGTAAATACATCCGAGAGAGGTAAAGCTACTCACCTTGGGAGGCTTCCTGGAAGAAACCACATCTTCGTGCCACAATAGCTGTATGGAAAAGTTAGTGATCACCTTAGCATTGTTCCTACTACTTTGAGAGAGGATAGAGCCCTGAGCCCCAGAAATCCTGCTTTTAGCCAGGCTGCCATTTGGCTATCACCGGGGGTCCCTCAGTATATTCTGCTATAAAATGGATACAGAGACACATTAAGTCCCTCCAAGACATGAAGTCAGAATTCCTGTGGCAGAAAAAACAAAAACAAAAACAAAAAAACTTGAGCCCAATGCCCTGTTCATGGAAGGCAATATCTCCACACATATGATTTGATACTGCACTTGACCCAGAGGACTTTAGAATACAGAAGATGTAGGGTCTACTTAGCATGAGCCAATTTCATTCCTAAATCCTATTTTTCCTGTTTCTGTTTTGTTTTTTTTTTTTTTTTCACTTCCACTTGTGGTTGTGTTAACTGCTGCTATTCCCCCAGGTAAGAAGCTTCTCTGTCTCTCTGTCTTCCTCTCTGTCTCTGTTTCTCTCTTTTTCTCTCTCATTAAGTGAAAAAAAACAAAAACAAAAACAAAAACCCTGTAATGACATATAGTATTTTCACAAATCCATTTTTATCCACAGTAAATTATCTTTAATCAGTAGCTGGGGAATGATGTTAACTTAATATTCTGGCCCATAATGAACGCATAGGCCATCTGTGGATGGCCAATCTTTAGAGAATTTAAATTAATAAAATGTATTTGATCCCAAATCTGGACTGAGCATAGTTTAACCTTTGACAATTCAAAAGGTTTACCAGGATCTCTGAGTGGTGTGGGACTCTACTGCAATCATAGCAGTTTTCATTTACATAGTAAATGTTTCTAGATATTTTATCTCATTGAATTGCAATAGGAGTCTGCAAAGAAGGGGTTCAGTGAAGTCCACAGTGGCAAGGGGATTAAACACAGGTTGTTTGATGCCAAGACATGCTCAGTCCCCACCACCCTGAGGTCCGTCATGCACTCTGTTGCCCTTCTGTGCAGGGTAGTTCTGACTAATAGCAGTAATGTAATGCTAGGAGTGATGCACCTTTGCCTCACCGCCGCTGCCCTTGCAAGGACCAAGGAGGAAACATGACCATCCTTCTATTTTTTTGGCAGGTAAAGATGCACATCATGTCCTCCTCCCATCTCTTCTACCTGGCCCTGTGCTTGCTCACCTTCACCAGCTCCGCCACAGCTGGACCGGAGACGCTCTGTGGGGCTGAGTTGGTGGACGCTCTTCAGTTCGTGTGTGGAGACAGGGGTTTTTATTTCAGTAAGTAGCCCTCCCTCTCACTGCTCTGTGGATTTACAACCACAGGGAGTGTGTGAATAACTGAATGACTGCCCGTGGCTGGCAGCCTTCCTCAGCCTCTGAGATTCCTTACCTTAAAGTAAGCCTAGTGTTTCAGCGGGGCTGTGGCAGGTTTTGCAGATTTAGGATGGAATTTTCCTCCTTAGCAGTTTGTCTTTTAACTACTTCCTGCTGAGCTTTCCCAAAATTATTGTGCTCTACCCTCGCTATTCCTTTCCTTTCAGTGAAAGGAAGGGACAGAATGACCCTGGGGAATTGAGGTTTTTGTTTTTGAGATCTGTGGGTGCTCATATAAACATATGGAAACACGGAGGCCTGTTTTTAGTGGTAGGTAATTTGGAGTAAAATAGTAAGGTGGACTGGAAAGAAGAATTAAGGGGGCACATCCCAGATGTCTCCGCGCAATGTGAAATCACCAGGGACAGAAGGTGAACTTTGCTCAAAGGCACATTTATAAAATCACAGGCACTCTCTAAATGCAAACTGAAATGTCATATTAATTTGTCCTCTATGAAAATTGACCTTGATGTTTTGTTATAGCCTTCCTTTGACTTAGCTTTTCTCTGGGACTCTCCAGTGATATCTCCATCTGGAAAAGGGTTTCTGACAAGTGTGGGGTTACTTATCCCATAAGTAGGTCTCAGGTGATTAAAAAGCTGACAGTCAATAAAAAATAGACAGCCCAGTCAATGTTTGCAAATAATAAACACAAACATAAGTCAATGTTGCCTGGGGGAACTGAGCACTTACAGAATCTACCTCAGAGACATCTATCTCATTGTATATTATAGGACAGTGAAAGATTTAAAGCCAATTGCTCATTCTATATAATTATTTGGAATTTTAGAGAGTTCCAGGAAACTGATGTTCAGGTCCTCAGTGAGCATGAATCATTCTTAGAGGTTCATTATCACTCGAGTGTAGACAGCTTACCTCAGTTGCCCACTAAGCTTTGAATAGCTCCTCTGATGACTCACACACTTCAGGTCTCTCTCATCTTCCTCCCAGGGAAGGTGGTGTGTGCCTGTGCATGCGTGCGTGTGTGTGTGTGTGTGTGTGTGTGTGTGTGTGTGTGTGTGAGAGAGAGAGAGAGTAGGGGGAGGGGCCTGAATATAGCAGTCTGGGATGAGTCAGAGAGATGGCAAGGGAGAGGCTGATGGGGGACTGATGATTTGTATTCATCATAGATTTGGCAACAAATAGTCTTTAAACAACTAGTGACAGAGAATGAGAAGTGCTTTTTACTACTTGAATGGGCAAACACCCCTCTCTGTTTCCAGCTAATGCTTCAATAGGATGAATTCATTTATTTTTCTGGCAATAAAGCAATTCTATCCAGGTCTCTGTTGTAGGGCAGATGAATAAGTTCATTGGGTGGGTACTTTTCAAATAGCAGACTTGTTTTAATTTTGAAATATACAGTGAAAGGCAAATGTGCTACATCAACATCACCCAATGATGGGTTGTCATTATTCTTTACTTTGCTGCTACTGATCCACATATAAAAAAATGAATAAGTAATTCTCACATATTATGCCCAAGAGGATTTTTTTTTTGCCTTGATAATCCATTTGTGCAGTTTCCTTTGATCCAAGGATCAAGGTAATTGCCAAGCCCACAATTGTCTTCCGTTATGTGCCAGGATGAATTGTCTTGTTCAACTTGACGTGCTCCAGGATTTCCATGCACAGTGCAAGGAAACTGGATCATTCTGTGCTTATGATGTTTGCATTAGATAATGAAAAATGGGAATGTAAATAATGATTTGGTCTCAAGTAACCATATAATACTGATATATGTGCACACAGACGGTTAAGAGTATTGGACAACTATGATGGAAACCAATTTCAAGGCACCAAAAAGGTTCTCTTATTGAAATCACCTAACCAGGATCTACCCTCTCAATGAGCTCCTTGATGCCAAAGACTATGTTTATTTTCCATTGAATCCCAGTATCTAGCTCAATGCCTGGCTGATATAGAAAAGGCTCTATTTGATCACTGAACTGACAAGCTTGAATTAAATTGAACCCAGTTGAATGGAATGGAATTACTTATTTGGGATCTTAGTCTTCAGAACCATAAAGAATTAGGTTTGTCAATTACTTTGGATAATTCATATCTCCTATTTACCCAGCTATTGGATAAAATTGTTTTTCTTTTATTCAACTGAATACGACTGTGAGGCTGACTAGAGGCTGCATTTTGGTTGTCATCCCTAAGCTACACTGATGGTCTGTTTTGTGTCTGCGCCAATTATTTTAACAGGCACTAACTGTTGTCAACAAATTGTATTGAGTTTCCTTTTTGTCCCTTGAGATTTAGTGTGTGTGAAGTTAGCTCTAAGCATTTACAGGTCTTTGAGATACTTTTTTAGAGGAAAGCAGTCTTCCTCACCTCTATCTCTTGTCAGTTGACCCTTTTCATTCTTTTTACCCTTACTTTCAAAGTTTTATTGCAGCTGTGCCTTTTATTTTAAGCTGCTTCAAATCCATTTTGAAAGTACAGTTTTGTTGTTGTTTTCTTTTTTTAATAGTGGAAAGCAGTTTCTGATCTTCGTTTGAAATTCAAACATCTAAAAGAAAATTGCCTCCATATTTATCTTTTTTGTCAGGTCGAAATGTTTAACAAGGAGAGTTTTCTTAACCTATTAGACACAGAACAGTTCTGAATAAAAAAAAATAATGTTTACTTTGTATAGACTGACCCAGTGTGTGAATGAGCTCATATTTCTCTATAAGCACAAGTTCTACTACAACACAGTGGAAGCAACCTTCTAGATTATCTGTTTTGTGAACAATTTTTCCAGCATAAGTGGAACAGTTCCTCTATAATTAATGCAGCTTCCCCAGACATTTCATGAAATGAAAGTTCCAATGAAGAGCTAATTACTAATTCTTCCCTATGCGTCATAGTAAGAGAAGGTATCAGCCAGTCTTATGCTCTCACAGTCCTGTGAGGAAAATGGTGGCGTAATGAAGTGGTACATTGGGAAAGAGCTCGCTATTATCTCGCCAGATTGATGGAGCCCTTATAGAGGAGGGCTTGTTATAACCTCATTTTGCATGAAGCATAGCAAGAGGAAAAGAGCTTCAAGTGAAAAAGAAGAAGTTAAGCTTGCCATAGATATAATTTTTTAACAGTCATGGTGATTAACCATTTTAACATGTACTTTAAGGGCTTGTGGAATTTCTCTCTTTGGAGATACTTAAAAATTTGAAAGACAACCAACCATCTTGGATGGTTTCAATTAAGAGCAACCAAAAGAAAGCAAGTTTCTGGGGTCCTTTTTAGTTTTAAGAGTCTATAAACAGTCCCTTAAATAAACTGTATATGCTTTACCTCAGCGGTCTGGGAAAAAGAAGAAGTAAATCAAATAGAAAAGAAAGTTGGATACCCTTTCAGCTATTCCAGATTTATAGCTTTTGTAAAACACACTTCCAATTCATAGTTATTAAGAACAGGTCTGAATAAACTAAGGGCATTCTTCATGCGTTAAAACATACTGCTTTATGGAGTTTAAGCGAAACTTTGCAATGAATTTCATTGTTATTGATTGCAACAAACTTCCTAGATCTAGGTATTATTATTAACTCAGGTTTCTTTCATTTGAAATATAGTGCTCAGAAAACTGCTCCCAGACCTGTCACTCATTAGCTGTATGACTTTGGCAGGCATTTAAACTTCCTGGGTCAAAATGTCCTTGTCCATAAAACAAGGGGATTTTGTTAAAGTAAATGACTTCTTATAACTTTAACAGACTCATAGTCCAGGTTATAATGAACAAGGATTTGGTGTTATTCAAGAAAGGAGAACCTTAGATTTAAGCAGTGACCAAAGAACATTTAGTGTCCTTTATCTTCCCTAAAGAGTTTCTGTTTACCCCAAAGATAGAAGATTCCACCTACGTAAAGAAAGAGTAGCTAGCTTCTTTGTTTTGTTTTGTTTTGTTTTGTTTTGTTTTGTTTTGTTTTGTTTTGTTTTAATCTGGGTTTCAACCCCTCAGGAGTGGAATAGAAGCTCAGACATGACCAAATACACGAAAGTCATCTGGCCAAAGGAGCACATGCAAGCAGATTGCCATGTTTCTTTGCGAGGAAGGACCAGCTGACAGTTCTCATCTTTACATTTTCTCACTCTCTTGGTTGTGAGAACAAGTGAGTAGGTCAGTTTTTAGTTGTCCTTTATCAAGTCAGATGGGACAAATAAGAATCTATAGGCTTCTAAACCTTGACCAACTGCCTTTTGCCAGCCTATTGATACTGCCTTTCCAATTAAAGAAGGGAGTGTATAGTTCAGGGCATTCAAAGATATACACCATTAGCAGTGCTTTGAGTGGGGCTGGGTTTGAGCTACGCCATTTGTATTCCACGGTTTGGTACCCCTTAGACTGCCAGCCATGCATTTGTATGACAACTGGTCAAAGTTAAGGGTCCAGTCTCTGGCTGTGGAAAAGCTTTCTCTTTGAAATTAATTGGCACATGTGGGGTTTTACCTTATGGCCCTGGGCTCATTAGTACCACTAAGCTAATAGGCCACAGATATTCTTAAAGAAAAGTAATGTGTTTTTATATTGATGCTAAATGCTTGCATCCCCGAGGACCAGTCTATACAAACAAAGGACCACTTAAAAAGTGATAGCTTCTGTGAGAAATTAGAAAATAATTTGCATTTTTCTAACATTTTAATATTCTTTAAGACCATCTCCCTGATGGAGAATTATAAGAAGCAGAAGAGTGAAGGGTTCAAGACCGAGAGCATGTTCTCTATTGCCAAGAATTCAGAGTTTGAATTCTAGCTTACTTGGTAGGTAGCCTTGAGCAAATTACTTAACCTCTTTGTTCCCCAATTTCCTCATCTGTAAAATGGGGCCTACCTCATAAAACTGGTGTAAGGATTAAATGAGTTCATGTATTAGAACATATTAACTTAGAATACTGCCTGGCACATAGTAAGCACCAT